GGGAAAAAAAAAAAAAAAAAAAAAAAAAAAAAAAGTAAAAATGGTATTTGAAATTTAGAGCTGTGTTTATACATGAATATAACTTTGGATTGTTTTTGAAGTTTTTGTGAGTGATTTGAGTGAAAATTTTAAAAAATAACTTTTTGAAGTTTTTAAAATTTTTGAAATTTTTCAAAATGAATCTTCAGGTGAAAATTAAAAATTTTATGAACAAACGTTGATTTCGAAAAAAAATGAAATTATTTTGAAAAAAAGGAAAAATTTTCTTATGTCCAAACGGGCTCTTAATAAAACCTCAAACTTTCGCCTTTTTGGGTTCATTTTGGTGGTACGTACTACTTACGCGGTTTCAATTTATATATAACATCCGATCTTTCAAGTTAAATTAGATTAGCTCGACGTAGAATTTTAAAATTAAAATTTAGATATTTGAAAATTATATTAAAAAATTCTCTATAACAACATTGTTTGTTCTAATATTTTTTGACTTTTATAGTGAATGGTTGTTATACGCATAAAATAACATTTAATAACACTTGAATTAGCGAAAGATTTGTGTCCAAACTTTTAGCAAAAGAATACCGGATATCTTTCCGTTGAAGACAATCCAAAAGCTTAACAATTGATTCTTCTATGCCAGTCCAAGTAGCAATAGGTTGGGTCAAAATCTTTAAACTTATTATTGGTGATCTTAGAGATTTTACCAGGGGCAGATTTAGGGCGGCGGACGAACACCCTTCGTTAGAAAATTGCATTGTTTATATAGGGGTAATTTTTTTTATTTACGTATAGATATAATATGTTGAACCCCCTTGACACAAGCCAAAAGATTGGCTTAGTGGTCAAGGGTGTTCACATTTTGTAGAAGATTGCAGGTTCAATTCCCGTCAGCTGCAATCTAATTCTTTTTACCTCAAACTTATTTTTTTAAATTTTAAACGAAACGAAACGACGTTGTTTCATTTCGTCTCTTTTAATATGTTTTCCCCCAAAAAAACGTGACTGACTTTGGGTTAAAATCCCTAAATCTATCTCTCTCTTCGTTGCCTCACTGCTCACTCCACTCCCTCTCTCTCTTCAATCCCTCTACCTTGTTGCTGCTGCTTGCTATTCTTCTGTCGTGGCATTGGCATCCCAGGTAAATTCCTTGTTCTTTCTAACTTTTTCAGAATTTTATAGTATTTTATTGGTTATTCTTAATTTAGGTTAATGACACTTGTTTGTTGTTTTTTGATTCTTGAATATGTAGACTTTAATAATGTAAATTATTGAGTTTTCTACTGCATTTGCTTTGATAAACTTATGAAAAATAATTGTATTTTTTTTAGAATTGAGATATTTTTGACTCGATCTTTGGTGATAATTGCTGATGTTTTATTCCCTTATGTTGCATATGTTACAATGATTAATAAAAATCTAACAAAGCTAACAATTTGACTCGATCTTTGGTGATAATTGCTGATAAACTTTAGAATTGAAGTCTTTGGTGAATTATATGAATATTAGATTGAGCACTTAAGTCTTTGGCTAACACTTCTTTAAGCTTAGTTCGATACAATAATCATATATCAATTTTTCTAACTACATCCCTACTTTTTAATTCAGTCTCAAAATTCAGTGAAGAGATATTTTACTAAAGCACCAAAATCAAATTTGGCTTCTCATACTCAACCTATCTAGGAAGAGAATATCAACCATATAGAAGTACCATCTTCTAATGAATTTGATTTGGATTCTTTAAAGTTTGACCCGGGGGAAAGAACTCAGATCTTGGACTTCCATCCAAATCATCGTGATGTTATTAGAAGAGAATACCTTCGACAAAATCCTTGTCAACATCGGCTTCATAACTTTCCTAAAATAAATTTTTCTGGATCAATGCGTCGATTTAATCCTAAATGGTTTGATTAGGAATATCATGATTGGTTGGAGTACAGTGTAAGTAAAGATGCAGCCTATTGTATGTATTGTTATCTATTTAAAGATAATAATATTCATCAAGGTGGAGGTGATATATTTTCAAGTATAGGGTTTAAGAATTGGTATAAAAAGAAAAGTTTTGATAAACATGGGTCGAGTAGCATTCACAATGAGTCAAAAAAGAAATGCCAAGATTTGCGACAACAACGGTCTATTCAATCTTTATTTGAGAGGCAATCTAATCAACTTAAGCATGAGTATTGGATCCGCTTAATTACTTCAGTTAATGTAGTAAGGCTCTTATAACTCAAGGATTAGCATTTCGAGGTCATGATGAATCTAAGTCTTCACTTAGTAGGGCTAATTTTCTTCAAACTCTCTCATGGTATGCAAAAGTGTGTGATAACATTCGTGATTATGTACTGGAACATGCTCCTCAAAATATGCCAAAAACCATATTAAGCAACCCAAAAAAAACATATTCAGTTTGGGGAACTTAGACGTTTCTCTACTTGATGTTTGAGCAGTATGACGCAAACTATTTGGAGTATTCAAACCTTTGAATGATGGTTCTCATAAGGCTCACTTCCACGTGATTTTGACTTTTTTTCTCTTCTGTTCATTGGAGGTAAGCAAATCGAAGTTATGCCGGAAATTCATATTTCAAATGTCAATCCCCGTATTTGGCTAATATCATAAAAATACAAGATCAAACAAAAAAGAAGTAAATCAGTAATTACTTAATTTTAACCCATAAATATACCTTGAATTCACACAAACAACTTGGAAAAAATAGAGTTCAAAGTGAGCAAAATATATAACTAAAATAAATATGAAAATGGAATTTTTAGAGTAAAGAACTAGAGTAATATTTAAGAGAGCAGAAGTTTTAAAATAAGGGCATCAAAGACTTTTAAACTACGTATAGATTTCACAAATTAAATGAGAAAGAGAAGGGGAAGGGGAAAGGAAAGGGAGGAGAACATCTTTTGTGTCAAGTTTACGCCTTTAGGAGTTTTAATTTAGTGGGACCATATGACTTGGCAGCTAACATGGACAAAAATTTGAGGGGTCGCCTGCAACATTGGATGGCCGTTAGGGTTAAGGATAAATCTAAAAAGTTTGTTAACGGTAGGGGCTGAAGTGGACGAAAAGTACAACGGAGGCCAAATATAAACAATAGTAAAAGGACAAATCTGTACCTTCTCCCCAAATATATTTTAAAATATCGGCAAAGGGCCCGATATGCCCCTCTACTATCATCAATAGTTTAAATAAGCCATATGTTATACCATTAGAGCATTAAGCCCCTGTCGTTATACCATTAAACACAAATACACTTATTTTAACATATGGGTCACGTGGCAACACCAAACTCATCCGGTTAGTTTTAATATAAATCCGATCCAAACCCATTACCCGACACTAAAATACTAGACCATTATCTAAAATATCGACTGTCACATACCTAAGTTCAATTTTTCCTTTTTCTTTTCACTCTCTCGTAGCTTTAAGAGACCGGCGGTAGTGGTGACTCCAAACTGCCGATTTCATATGATCTTGCTCTAAAGGTTAGTCTTTTCTTCATTAAATTGCTTGATTTTTGTATTTGTTGATCGATTTTGCTGATTATTTGTTATATTATTCTTTTTTTTGTGGTTTAGAGTTTCGGTTTAGACTACATCTAATCTTTATCCATTATTTTTATGTAATATATACTTTATAGTTTGTCTTCTTGTAGTTGTTGCATGCTTCAGTTTTGAGGTGATCCCGATTTGTAGTGGTTGCATGCTTCAGTTATGCTAATAAATTCGTATGGGGTATATATCAAGGTGGATTTATTGTCTTCTAGTTTAGGGTTTTTTCTTATAGGTGGTTTCTTACGTGGATTATGATTTGTTTTTTGTCTTAATGGGAAAATGCCTTTATTTTATCGTGATATTGACGGAGATTCAGTGCTTTTTCTTTGTTTATTAGCTAAGGTGGTCCTAAATGTGGGCCCCTTGAATGCAATTGCTTCATTAAACTATTCTGGTGGTTGGACTTTAGTGCATGTTTGCTCACTTTGTGAATTCTTTATGAAGGGGTGGCTCCCATGTTATTTTCTGCCTATATTTATTCCTTTTTTTTTTTTACTTTTAGCTTATATTGGTTCTTTTGCTGTTTGCTAACCGTTCTTATTTGCTAGATTATTAGAGATGGTCTTAGTTGATTTAATATCCAATTATGAAAGTGAATGGGTTACACTTCCTGAAATTGTGTGCACAAAGAATCAACTGCACACTTGGTTAGGGTATGATTCAAACTTGCTTTCTTATATAGATATTGTCAATGAATTCACAAGTGAGATAGGGTTTGTAGGGGTTCAACAACTTATAGTTGATAGATCTTATGGTAAATTGTATGGGGTTGAAGGGGATGTGAGGATTAGACAGTCGATATCCTTGCTTTCTAATTAATATAATGCAGTGAACCTATATGATGTGGATGAATATGATCCCCCTATTGATTGCATTTCCAGTATTGTACATTATAGCGAATCATATACTTGTTTGGATTAGGCTGGTACTGACTGTAGCTTAAGTGAATTAGGATTTGACTCTAGTTCTGATTCTGAGGGATATGATTCTAAAGAATTACATTCACTCCAAACACACAAAAAAAAAACGTAACTAAAAATCTGAATGATTATAAAGAGATATATAAATGCATGGCCTTTAAGGACATACCAGAAGTTAGGAAGTTTATGAAGTTGTATGCTCTAGCCAACAAGAAAGTCTTAAAACATAGGAAGAGTGGCACAATGAGGGTTAGGTACAGATGCATTGTGGGTTGTCCCTTTGTTTGTTTAATATTCAAAGA